CATTGCACACTGGCCCTCTTGTCGACATCTGCCTTGTTTCCTTTCCAGCGCAAGAAGTTCATGGGCAGGAGTAGATGTTTGTGATCAATCAATTTGTCTAACAATGAACACATCATTTTTTAATCTCCATTTCTCCTGAGGTCAGAAGTGCCCCTGACGTAATAGCAACGTTTCTTCCTTGATTGTGCCACGCCCCCACCGTTACGTATCGAAGCCAACGTTGCTATGCAGTTCAACGGTCACTCTTGCATCGAGGTTGGAACAATTGTCTCTGTCTCCATGCTCTGCGATAGCATTCGACTGACACATGTAAGGCACAGACTTATTTTCTTGAGAACAGTAACTCCATTGTCAGGTCATTTATTCGACAGGTTTTCAAAACTGACCTAGATTAGGGCGATCCTCCAATTTAACCAAGACTTCATGAGGCTACAGATGGAGAAGGCGGAGTCGAGATATTTAAGCCAGTCAACCTGCTGAAACGCTTCATCGTCAAGTTCCGTTTTTACATTAGCTGAGGGAATGGGTTCCTCATAAGTTATGTTTTTCGGACTTGAAGACGATGTAGGCGTTCACAGCTCTGTTACATAAACTGGAAGCCGTAATGTGACAGGAGCAGCTCACCATACTACTCACTAGGACAATATCATCGCCGTGTTCCAGGGTAGCAAGATACGTGGTGGCATTTCTTGAACTGCGCCTTTCCTCTAGAATGAGACATGAATGTTTGCCACAGTCACAACTGTTTCAGAAAAGAAAGTCGAGAATAACGTTAAATAGCAAAAAATACAGTATATCTCCCTGACGATCTCCACAGTTAGTTGGTAACCATTCAGAAAACTCTCGTTTAAAATCAACATCAAACGTGGTTCCTTCATGCCTTTCTTCACAACGGAAGCGATGTGCTCAGGTACCTCGTGACACTTCAGATTTTTCCCATTGTCAGACGTTGTCGTGAATCAGACGCAGCTTTAAACTCAAGGACACTGATAAACCAAGGAAACTGAGATTGTCGACATTGCTCAATTAATGGAGGTAGATTGAAAATTTGGCTATGCTGGGAGTACCTCAGATGGAGGTCCTCTTGATTTAAATGCAGCACCCCTTCGATTACCTACTTCAGTCTTTTCAAGATTGTTCAGGACAATAGTTGCGGGAGTTGACAGTTGTAAAATGCCACATTTGGCATATTCGGTCTTCCGATCCCCTTTACACATAAGGACGACTAATTCACGTTTTCCAGGACAACTTTTCTACATCACATTTGATCAAATTTGGCACGAACTTCTCTACCATTCTCGTTCTTCCTACTTAATTACTCCAGAGGAATTCGATCCACTCAATATGCCATCTGATCCTTGAGGTGTAGTAAGGTTATTTTTAATTACCAATTATGTAGTTGAATCTATACTAACCTACAGTCAAGGTAGACAATTAACGGTTGGAAATTAGACCACAGCTGAAGAACAATTACTGGAAACGTTTTGCTCGTCTTTTGATTCGTTCTTCTGCCCTGCTAATGGGACGTCATGAATGTCTTGAATGAGGATGAACCAACTCTTCTCCTTATCAGACAGCTGTTGCACTTCTTTGAACATTGTTAGCGAATCGCAGCTGTGGCTGCTTTATCGACCTTTCTGATTTCCTCATCCAGTAAAAGTTCCCTCTCTTCTTGTATCTGAGTGACTGAACGAGAGCCGCTTTTAGAGGTTCAGAAGAGTTTCCAGCAATTTAGTTTCGCATAATTTCTTTGTACCCTGGTGTCTAGGGTCTTCTCCATTATCCAGTAGAGTCTGTCTATTCTCCTTCTGACACTAACTACAATTTTCGTCAATGCGATATGGCTGGTTTTATGTTAAGTTCCTTAGTGACCATGTGGCAATCAGACGCAGTGCAGATACCACCACACGCCATCATGCCCACCGGACGATATAGCATTCACGATGGAACGCTACGCTATCCGTGGGTGACATAGGAAAAGAGGATATCAAGTTCGTAGTTGGTAGGACACTGTTATAGCTGACTTTGACCATTTCTCTCTCCAGGTACTGTACGAGTACAAACTGTGAAGGAAGGGCTGGTTGAACCGAGTCTCAGACATTGCGCGTGATCGACAAAGACGGAAAGCAGCGATCGGCGATGTCACTGAAGCCTATTAAGTTAGTGACTATGAGAGCGAATATAAGCCTTAGTGGTGAGAGCGTTCAATCCTGTCCCCCCTGCAACTACAAGTTAACTTTTTTGATTCACCGACTCAGTTTCGCTTCACATGCACAGCAGGCGCCTGAATGCCAGGATAAGAGACGTGGTCTGTCTAAACAGTTCCTCTATTGAATTCGTAGTCAGGAATTCTGCGGTTTTGCTGTCTTACACTTTGGTGTAAAGTAAAAATTAACAGAAATATTTTGTTTATTCGAATAGGCCTTGCTATCTACTCATAAGCGAAACGAAAAATAACTATTTCATCAACCGAAACATCTCACTCCGTAAGATTTATGTACAAAGGATTTACAGTCCAGGTAGATACATGTTCGACGCGTAGGAAAAATCAAAGAAAGATTTCCTATACGACCAGCTTATTCAATTAAAAGGAGAGAGGTTTTATATTTCTGAATTTAGCCATTCATAAAAGTTTCAAATGATAATCAAATTAGCGCTAAATAATGAAAAATGTGCATATCATTTTCCAACAAAAATGTTTGCTTACCTACGGGTTGATTTTGTCAGTGCCAGGGACGATAACTTGTACCTGTTACTTCACACGGTTTACACACACATTGATTTTGCGTTGAACCCAATGAGGTGATGCAACTTTGCATTAATATACCTGTGCAATACCTTGGAACCGAATGCTGCGTAATCCCGGCAACATGTACTCTATGACTCTGTTCCATTGGGGCATATGCATCATCATTAAAACTGAAAACGAGTAAACATGAAAACGTACACACTGAAATCTGTCATTAGAGGAATGGAGCGTACATATCTAATAAGGTTACATGAAACTATAACGAATGACTCTTCAAAGACTGGATCATTTTGCGTACTACTGCGCATGAACATGTTATAATGTTTATGTGATCGCATATAGAAATAGTGACATCCGGAAGAGCCTTGCAATACAGCCTTTGCTTCTCCCGATTGAAAAGTCACAGCTGCGATGGTTTGGCCATGCGTTGCGAGTGTCTCCAGAAAAAAAGGCTAAGCAGCTGTTTCTTGTCCAAACGACCGGAAGAAGGCCCAGGGGACGACCAAGATTAACCTGGTGCCAACATATGAAAGGAGTCTGTTCCAGACTCCATTTATCTTTTCCCGACGCTCAGACTTTGGCACAGGATCGGGAACGTTGGAAGCGTGTCTGACGCGTCTGCCTCCGCTACGCGAAAGGAGA